GGAGGAATCGACAAGAGAACCATCGAGAAGTTTGAGAAGGAAGCCGCTGAGGTGGGTGACTGCGGCCTAATCTTAGGCTTCTTACCGCATAAACACTGTATGGGATATAACAGTGAGACTCTGAGGTAAAATGCCATAACAGTAGACGGTGGGTGTGGTGGAATAACTGTTCAATGATATTATTTGGGTAAAACCGCCATCTACTGTTAAAAAATACACACTGCCCTCAAGCGCAAAAAACGCATAAAGATTTAAATGTTAGGTTAATTTATGTCGTGCAAAATAAGAGTTAAAATCTTGCTTGTATATAATTATATATTTAAGATTACACAACATTTTAGGGGAAACTGAATTAATTAAACATTGAAAGTGAAACTTATTAAACATTCAATTAATTTTTTAATATAGCGACAAATCACTGCTTTCCCCTTAAGGTGGTTTATAATATAAGGTAAAGACCATACAATATAATATAATCATTATACATGATATATATCATGAAAATTATATCTGTTATAATGTTTTACTTGTATATTATAACATGAAATGTTCCAATAACCAATGTTTTTGGATACATTCTGTATTCTACGATAGGACTAGGATGAATACAGGATATTAGCACTGAAACCTAGGCCTCAGTAAGGCACAGACATTGAAGGATGCCAAAGAATGCTTAGCAGACCTTGAACACAAGAATTTAACAAAGACAAACACAAGGCAGAAAAATACAGCATTTTCATAAGAAAACCTGTTTTAATCAATTCACAAAACACAAAACAATAAGGTACAAAAAGATGTTATGTTTTACATAATTTTTCTTATCTAGCCTTTAAATTTTTTATTCTTTTCCCACCCTAAATCGGTGCTATTAGGCTGAACAGAGGTTCATTTTTTAAAAGTATGCTCTCCTGAATGTAAGCTGAAGAAAAACAGCTTTAGGTCTAGAAAAAAATTATTTTAAAATAAGACTTATTTATGAGGTATTGAATTAACCAAACCGAGTTTTTCCTGTTTATTAAAGTTTTTGTTGCACGGCAAAACATGTTTTGGCCTTACATCACAAAAGATTTTAACCATTTTTTAGTAGGGTTTACTTTACTTAAGAATAAATCAATTATATATATTTTGTTTGCTTATGAAATGGGTAAAAAAAAACAGTAAAATGCATATACCTCTGAAAACGCTGCAACCAGATTAACAGAATCAACCTTTCGGGATGTACCTCTGTTAAACAAGCTAACTCAAATTGTCTGCCTAGCGTAGTTGCATAATCACCCCTTAAAAAGCTCATTATGAGCCAGTTAAAAGGTGATTTTACCTTTTCAGATTAAGGGATTAACTGGAGTTTAGTATTTGTATTTTTTCAAAGGTTCAAGGTC